TTAGTGTCCCCTGGTCTCCAGCTGTGTGCGTCACTCTTTAGTGTCCCCTGGGCTGCTTCTCAGGTCGATTAAATGAAATCCTTGCGTCCCTCACTTGCGTCGTTTCCCTGCCTCTAGTCCCTCCCACCAGGGAAGCAAGGAGGGATGCAAGGAAACCACGAGAAGCAGGAAATGAGTTTTAAGAGTAATGGGACGTCCTTTCCTCCGGAGCGTCACGTGAAGCGACGTCCGTTTGTGATGACGCTGCACAGCTGATCGTCTGACAGCAGCTCTGTCCCCGTTATTTCCACACACCCCCCCCCCCCCGCCTCTGTTAGCATACATTTACTGACACACACATTTGTATCATCTGTTGTAGACCCAAATACATGAAATAAAATAAGAACTCATTCTCAAAAAAGATAAACGCCATTCTTAAAATGTATAAACGAAAAAAGCGATCATGAAAATGTTTCCAATAAATGAATAAAAAAATGTTTGACCACTTTGTTGTTCACATATTTCACATATTTGTAACTAAATGAAACATGAATTGAAACAAAACACGGTATAAACTGAGGAGTGAGTCTCGTGAGGTTCATGTGTTTTCTTCACTCCGCTGGGAAACTGCTCTCATGTGAAGAAGCATCAGATCAGTGCATCCACTGCTTCGTCCAATCAGTGAGCGATACACAGTAAGGGGGCGGGGCGAGTATCTGAGGATTTCATCAGAGGATGGTCTGGTGGTTCCTCGGTTATCGCTCTTCGCTCCTCGATCCTCGCTCCTCGATCCTCGATCCTCCGGCAGAAATAAGAGCCATGGGACGGTACTCAAGATGGCGCAGACAAATCAACTTCCGGTGAGACCGAGGAGCGAGGAGCGAGGAAATGAAAATAGTCGACCTGAGAAGCAGCCCAGGGGCCCAGTCCAATAGTCCATTTAGCTTGAACCTTCCTAACCGAGTGAAATGACCCGGAAGTCCCTCAGTGGCAGCCATGATAAGTGCCGTTCCAATTCTCCAAATGAAAGGAAAGGAGGTTTCAAACTTCCTTTATAACCGCCTTTAGCTTAGGAACCACTGGACCTCCCTCACCGAAAGGAGAGGAGAAAATGCTGCCCCACAATGCATTGCAGCCGCAGCATTTGACGTCACTCAACAGTCGGCCGTTCACGGACACAACCGATAATGGGAGAAATGATATCATGAAAGTTACGGTGCTCATTAAGCTAAACGTAGGTGGTAAGTTGCCAAAGTGCTTTGTTCTGAACGTTCATCAGTATTATAATCACAGAGAGAAATATGAACGTTAGTTTTTACTGAAATGATCAAATAAAGTCAACATCTCACAGTCTTTACTGAGCTGTGTGGTTTGTTCAACTTGTAAAAGATGTTTGAATGGTGATATACACAGTGATAGATGTTAAGGACTAACGTTTATAATAAATACATCTGTATTGATTTAAGATCTTTTCATCAATCATACGTATTGGGATCATTTGTATTAATGTGGACCGGAGGGAGAGGGGGACGAGCAGAAGCTTCACTTTCCTTTGTATTTCAATTCCAGCTTTGGTCCTGAAGAATCTGTTTCTCTGTTGTCCCCGTTCATAAAGCATAAAGCAGCAGCGTCAGAGCACAGAGTCTCTAGATGAGTTCACAGGAGTCCCTCGTTCTTATTGAACATCCATGTTGTAGTCCGCTGTATAGAGAACTGTAGTCTCCATAGTTTCCCCACAGCAGCAGACGCTCATTCAGGACGTCCGCTGGCGCATCAGAAACACGTGGGATAGTGAAAGTGCAGTCGATTCTCTAAAGTACCGCAGTCTCTTCTCCTAAGTCCTTTTGAATTCTCCTATCCACTATCCCTTAACCCCGTGACCTTTCACTCAGAGGTCAAGGAATAGGAGATAGGGTTAGAACTTAGGAGCTAATTTTAGGATTATCGGAACGCAACCCTGGTCTCCAGCTGTGTGCGTCACTCTTTAGTGTCCTCTGGTCTCCAGCTGTGTGCGTCACTCTTTAGTGTCCCCTGGTCTCCAGCTGTGTGCGTCACTCTTTAGTGTCCTCTGGTCTCCAGCTGTGTGCGTCACTCTTTAGTGTCCCCTGGTCTCCAGCTGTGTGCGTCACTCTTTAGTGTCCCCTGGTCTCCAGCTGTGTGCATCACTCTTTAGTGTCCCCTGGTCCCCCAGCTGTGTGCGTCACTCTTTAGTGTCCCCTGGTCTCCAGCTGTGTGCGTCACTCTTTAGTGTCCCCTGGTCTCCAGCTGTGTGCATCACTCTTTAGTGTCCCCTGGTCCCCCAGCTGTGTGCGTCACTCTTTAGTGTCCCCTGGTCTCCAGCTGTGTGCGTCACTCTTTAGTGTCCCCTGGTCTCCAGCTGTGTGCGTCACTCTTTAGTGTCCCCTGGTCTCCAGCTGTGTGCATCACTCTTTAGTGTCCCCTGGTCTCCCAGCTGTGTGCGTCACTCTTTAGTGTCCCCTGGTCTCCAGCTGTGTGTGTCACTCTTTAGTGTCCCCTGGTCTCCAGCTGTGTGCGTCACTCTTTAGTGTCCCCTGGTCTCCAGCTGTGTGCGTCACTCTTTAGTGTCCCCTGGTCTCCAGCTGTGTGTGTCACTCTTTAGTGTCCCCTGGTCTCCAGCTGTGTGCGTCACTCTTTAGTGTCCCCTGGTCTCCAGCTGTGTGCGTCACTCTTTAGTGTCCCCTGGTCTCCAGCTGTGTGCGTCACTCTTTAGTGTCCCCTGGTCTCCAGCTGTGTGCGTCACTCTTTAGTGTCCCCTGGTCTCCAGCTGTGTGCGTCACTCTTTAGTGTCCCCTGGTCTCCAGCTGTGTGCGTCACTCTTTAGTGTCCCCTGGTCTCCAGCTGTGTGCTGGAGATGTTTCTTCATGAGGAACATTTGGCTTCATCACGTCGACCCTTCATCAGATTTAAAGTCTTTGTTCATTATTTTTAGGGACTAAAATTAGATCTCATGATGTCTTCTCTCCTCCTGTTTGAACGAACTGAAAACATCTCAGAGTTTAAATCTCCTCAGAGAAGACAGACCCAGGAGACGTGCTGCCATCAGGCTTCAGAACTCAGGCTATTATTAGCAGCAACACAAACATTCCTGTTTTATGTATTTATAGTTCTGCGTCTGGAAATAGAAACTACTCTGCTGTGTTCTATTTTTGACAGGACTTATTGTAGACTCGTTAAAGCGACTCGTTAAAGCGACTCGTTGTTAAAGCGACTCGTTGTTAGAGCGACTCGTTGTTAGAGCGACTCGTTGTTAAAGCGACTCGTTATTAAAGCGACTCGTTGTTAGAGCGACTCGTTGGTAGAGCGACTCGTTGTTAAAGCGACTCGTTGTTAAAGCGACTCGTTGTTAAAGCGACTCGTTGGTAGAGCGACTCGTTGGTAGAGCGACTCGTTGGTAGAGCGACTCGTTGGTAGAGCGACTCATTGTTAAAGCGACTCGTTGTTAAAGCGACTCGTTGGTAGAGCGACTCGTTGGTAGAGCGACTCGTTGGTAGAGCGACTCGTTGGTAGAGCGACTCGTTGTTAAAGCGACTCGTTGTTAAAGCGACTCGTTGTTAGAGCGACTCGTTGTTAGAGCGACTCGTTGTTAAAGCGACTCGTTGTTAGAGCGACTCGTTAGAGCGACTCGTTGTTAAAGCGACTCGTTGGTAGAGCGACTCGTTGGTAGAGCGACTCGTTGTTAAAGCGACTCGTTGGTAGAGCGACTCGTTGGTAGAGCGACTCGTTGGTAGAGCGACTCGTTGTTAAAGCGACTCGTTGTTAAAGCGACTCGTTGTTAGAGCGACTCGTTGTTAGAGCGACTCGTTGTTAGAGCGACTCGTTGTTAGAGCGACTCGTTGTTAGAGCGACTCGTTGTTAAAGCGACTCGTTGTTAGAGCGACTCATTGTTAGAGCGACTCGTTAGAGCGACTCGTTGTTAGAGCGACTCATTGTTAGAGCGACTCGTTGTTAGAGCGACTCGTTGTTAGAGCGACTCATTGTTAGAGCGACTCGTTAGAGCGACTCGTTAGAGAAGCTCGTTCTTAGAGCGACTCGTTAGTGCGACTCATTAGAGCGACTATTTAGTAGGGATCGACCGATATGGCTTTTTCAAGGCCGATACCGATTATTAGTAATCAAGGAGACCGATAACCGATATTTGGAACCGATATACATTTGTAGTAAAATCAGAAAATCTTTGTGTCAAAATGTAGAATAACACAAACTTCTATGAAATGCCTTTTTATGTTTAATGAACTTTTCAACATCTTAACACTGGTTTCCTCTCTGTGACCCTGAGTAAATGAAGTTCAAATAAAAACTACTAAAACTTGTTCTGAACTTCTGATATTTGAGTCTCACTCATTTAGTAGTCCCAATTCAGCAGCACCAGAATGTGGTGCTGAGAGCAGAGTTGCTGCGCGGCTCCACTAGCAGCCGTCCCAGTCGTCCCAGTTTGTCCCCGGTCCCTGGGAAACTGGGAAACTGTTAGAATTGGATCATAAGATCGTGGTGTTTGTGCATCATAGGGGATTGGGATGTTTATTGAACATCGGCTTCGGAACACCGCTCAGCGCTGCTGCTGCTTGCCTCTGTCTGTGTCTGCGTTCTTCGCGAAAATCTTCAGTGTTGATTGACACTTCAGTAATAGCCTATCAGATAGCGCTGTGGGCGGGACATTGCTCATGTACACAGAGTGGTGACTGCAGCCAGAGAAACGGCCGCATCAGAGCCAACGTCGTATCGGCAATTTGATTAAAAAACGGCCGATACCGATAATCTGTAAAATGCGGAATATCGGTCGACCCCTACTATTTAGCAACTGTATACATCTTCAGCGTCCATGAGTACGCCAGTGAAACGTATTTAAAATCTGTGTGTGTGTGTGTGTGTGTGTGTGTGTGTGTGTGTGTGTGTGTGTGTGTGTGTGTGTGTGTGTGTGTGTGTGTGTGTGTGTGTGTGTGTGTGTGTGTGTGTGTGTGTGTGTGTGTGTGTGTGTGTGTGTGTGTGTGTGTGTGTGTGTGTGTGTGTGTGTGTGTGTGTGTGTGTGTGTGTGTGTGTGTGTGTGTGTGTGTGTAGGGGAGTTCATCAGGGCTCTCTATGAGTCAGACGAGGTGTGTGAGGTGGATCCGAGTCGCTGCAGCAGCTCTGAGCTCGCTGAACATCAGAGCAACCTGAAGATGTGCTGCGAGCTGGCCTTCTGCAAGATCATCAACTCATACTGGTACACACACTCACACACACGTGCACACACACACGCACACACACACACACACACTCTGCTCTTTGTCTCCTTGTCTCCTCAGTGTGTTTCCTGAGTGTGTCTCTCTCAGTGTGCTCCTTGTCTCCTTGTCTCCTCAGTGTGTCTCTCTCAGTGTGCTCCTTGTCTCCTTGTCTCCTCAGTGTGTCTCTCTCAGTGTGCTCCTTGTCTCCTTGTCTCCTCAGTGTGTCTCTCTCAGTGTGCTCCTTGTCTCCTCAGTGTGTCTCTCTCAGTGTGCTCTTTGTCTCCTTGTCTCCTCAGTGTGTTCCCTCTCCTTGTCTCCTCAGTGTGTTTCCTCTACTTGTCTCCTCAGTGTGTTTCCTCTCCTTGTCTCCTCAGTGTGTTTCCTCTCCTTGTCTCCTCAGTGTGTCTCCTCTCCTTGTCTCCTCAGTGTGTTCCCTCGGGAGCTGAAGGAGGTGTTCTCTTCGTGGCGGCAGCAGTGTGAGGCGCGCGGCCACCAGCAGGACATCAGCCAGCGTCTGATCAGCGCCTCGCTCTTCCTGCGCTTCCTGTGTCCCGCCATCATGTCTCCCTCTCTGTTCGGCCTGATGCAGGAGTACCCCGACGACCGCACCTCGCGCACCCTCACCCTCATCGCTAAGGTCATCCAGAACCTCGCCAACTTCACCAAGTGAGTCCGTCTGCAATCAAGCTATTGTCAACATATGCTATTTATCTCAACGTATGTCATAACGATGTGTTGTCTTGTGTAACCATTAGCCAATCAGCAACCAAGGTAACCCCCCCCCCCCCTCTTATCACCTGAATCTCCTCTAGAGCTCCATTGAGTTCTTTGTAACCAAATGTCTCTCAGAGGGGCGTGGGGAGGGGCTCCTTATTTTCATCTAAAGTAACAGACAGAGAATCAGCACTTTGGAAACAGGGCTGAAACAGAGGGGATTATGGGTAATGCTGCCATGATCTGTTTGGTGTTTCAGCCAATCAGAGACAGGTTCTGGATATATCTGAGACCTTTAAGACATAGGAGGTAGGATAATGAACTCTGTGTGTGTGTGTGTGTGTGTGTGTGTGTGTGTGTGTGTGTGTGTGTGTGTGTGTGTGTGTGTGTGTGTGTGTGTGTGTGTGTGTGTTGTGTGTGTGTGTGTGTGTGTGTGTGTGTGTGTGTGTGTGTGTGTGTGCAGGTTTGGAAACAAGGAGGAGTACATGGCCTTCATGAACGACTTCCTGGAGCACGAGTGGGCGGGGATGATACGTTTCCTGTCTGAGATCTCCAACCCTGAGACGCTGTCCAACACGCCGGGGTTCGAGGGGTACATCGACCTCGGAAGAGAGCTGTCGGTGCTGCACGGGCTGCTGTGGGAGGTGGTGTCCCAGCTGGACAAGGTCAGTGTGTGTGTGTGTGTGTGTGTGTGTGTGTGTGTGTGTGTGTGTGTGTGGTGTGTGTGTGTGTGTGGTGTGTGTGTGTGTGTGTGTGTGTGTGTGTGTGTGTGTGTGTGGTGTGTGTGTGTGTGTGGTGTGTGTGTGTGTTGTGTGTGTGTGTGTGTGTGTGTGTGTGTGTGTGGTGTGGTGTGTGTGTGTGTGTGTGTGTGTGTGTGTGTGTGTGTGTGTGTGTGTGTGTGTGTGTGTGTGTGTGTGTGTTTGTGTATGATGTACATCTCTGATGATGTAACATGAATGTAGCACCTCAGTTCATCTCACCACTTTAACACTGCCTGGCTGAACTTCACAGCATGTCCCCCCTCCTAACCCGTCCCCACTCCTAACCCGTCCCCACTCCTAACCCGTCCCCACTCCTAACCCGTCCCCACTCCTAACCTGTCCCGCCTCCTAACCTGCCCCCCCTCCTAACCCGTCCCCACTCCTAACCCGTCCCCACTCCTAACCCGTCCCCACTCCTAACCTGTCCCGCCTCCTAACCTGCCCCCCCTCCTAACCCGTCCCCACTCCTAACCTGTCCCCACTCCTAACCTGTCCCCACTCCTAACCTGTCCCTCCTCCTAACCTGCCCCCCCTCCTAACCCTTCCCCCTCCTAACCCGTCCCCACTCCTAACCTGTCCCGCCTCCTAACCCGTCCCCCCTCCTAACCCGTCCCCACTCCTACCTCGTCCCCCCTCCTAACCCGTCCCCCCCCCTCCTGCTGTGTTTTTGTTCAGTAGAAGCATGTCGTTGTAGTTTTTGATTTTCCATTAAGTTTCCCCTTATGTTTTTTCTTTCCCTCCTTCTGTTCACTTCCTGTCTGGCCGACTCTCTGTTCCGCTGTCCCTCCACCACCAATGCATCCTGGTGCTTCCACACACACACACACACACACACACACACACACACACACACACACACACACACACACACACACACACACACACACATATACACACACAAACACTCGACAACCCCAGGGTGAAAATTCCTTCCTGCAGGCCACCGTAGCGAAGCTGGGCCCGCTGCCGAGGATTCTGGGAGATATTTCCCGCTGCCTGGCCTCTCCTGTTCCTCAGCAGCAGATCAGACGCTTCCAGGACCAAAACTCAGGCAACCTGAGCGGCAGCCTCTCCTCCGGCCTGCAGCGCATCTTTGAGGACCCCAACGACAGGTAACTGTTAGAGAACTCTCCCTGGTCCCCGGCTTGAGCTTCAGCCTCAGGATCCATGTATCTGTGATCCTCTCCAGAATGGAAGTAGTCATCACATACAGAGACTAGTTCCTGAACAGTGTCCTTCACATGCTGATATCCAAGAGAGGGAGTTACACAGTCACAAGATGGAGGAATAGAAAGCAGTATTCAATGTTTACTTCAGATTAGCTCCACGTCAGAAATGAGCATGCTTGATGTCTATCTCCATAGAAGCTGAATCATCATGTTAATCACATAGCTATTGTGGAGGAAACTTCTGTGTAGCAATGCAGTGGGAGTCACCGACTCATGAAGGAGACACGGGACGAGCAGGAGTTCTGATGTCAAACACTGATATTTAATACAAGCATCGGCCGGAGAAATTCACATCACAAGTCACACAGTGAAAGGTTCTGACTGCACGGGTGGTGTCCGTAAATCTGATCAGCCTCGCATCTTGGTAGACCCTTTAACTAGTTTACAGAGAGTCAAATCCACATATTGGGGATGGGCGTAAACACATCTGCAGACACAGGAGATGTCTCTCACGTCTCTGAAAACCCCCACAGGCCATAAACCCTAGTATCAACATACGACTGCATCAACACATTCCTTACGGAAGATTAGAAGCAGTGATGGTCGTAAATGTCAACACACAAAATAAGGTTAAATGTCTAGGAGTAAAGACAAAATGAATCCCTAACAGCTATCATATGCCTCAAACAGTCCTGATGCTCTTCTAGGTAATCACACATCCTGTCATGTTCTCAGCTACAGTTGGGATACCTTTGTTATCATGTTGCTCTCATGTCAGCCCTAGAATGATCAGTTTGGTATTTTGAGCAAAACACTTCGTAGACATGTAATACACGTATACATCTAAGAACTATAATATATGCCTACAAATAGTATAATATGAGACCTTCAACTACAGATAGGTTAACCTCTGACCTCCCTCTCTTCTCTTCCTGCAGTCGAAGGGACCCCCCCCCCCCTGCAGCTTCCTGTCTCTGATCTGATGGAGGGTCGCCCCCCCCCAAGCAGCAGTTTCTCAGACCCAGAGGATGGAGACCTTCTTCTGTTGCCGGGCGGACGCAGCATCTCCCTGGTGGACCTGCAGGACCTGGACCCCCCCCCAAACCGCCTCAGCAGGGGGGGGGGCTCGCAGGCCTCCATAGGACACGCCCCCCTCCTCGCTCACCCCCCGATCAAAGCCCCGCCCAGAGAGGCTCAGCCGCAGAGCGCGCCGCAGGCCAGGAGGCCGTTTCACCCGTCAATCAACCATCATCAGCTGCGCAGCCTGCAGCCAATCAGCTTCCAGAACCCCGTGTACCACCTCAGTAACCCGGGCAACCTGAGTAGCCCCGCCCACAGTCTGAGTAGCCCCGCCCACAGTCTGGCTAGCCCCGCCCACAGTGTTTGTAATCCTGCCCACAACACAAGTAGCCCTGCCCACAATACAAGTAACGCCGCCCACATTCTGGGTAACCCTATTAACCCCGCCCACGTTCTTTGTAACCCTGCCCACAACACAAGTAACCTCGCCCATATTCTGGGTAACCCTATTAATCCCGCCCACAGTCTGAATAGTCCCGCCCACAATATGAGTAATCAGAGTAACCCCGCCCACGTTCTTTGTAATCCTGCCCACAACATGAGTAGCCCCGCCCACAATATGAGTAACCAGAGTAACCCCGCCCATATTCTGGGTAACCCTATTAACCCCGCCCACAGTCTGAGTGGCCCCTCCCACAGCCTGATTAGCCCCGCCCATATTCTGAGTGGCCACAGCCTGTCCTCTCGCTCCGCCCACTCTCAGCTCCAGGACTCCAGCTCAGAGAACCTCAGCACGGAGAGTTCTCACAACAGCCGCACCTCGGACGACCTAGGCAGCCAGGCGGGTGTCAAAGGTCGCGCCCCCTCGAACAGCAGCAGCCTGGACGAATCGGGGTCGAGGGGCGGGGGTTCAACGCCGAGAAAACACGCCCCTCCTCAGCCCTCTGACCTCCCATTGGCCGTCGCTATCCCCCGTCAGAGCACCACAGCTGGCACCGCCCATATTGTGAAGGTGGAGCAGAGCAGAGGAGGGGGCGGAGCCAGGACGCCACGCTCGCTCCCACACAGCCAACCACTACGCAGCAGCCCCAACACAGAGCCCGCCCCCACGACAGGACACGCCCCCCAGACAGGACACGCCCCCACAACAGGACACGTCCCCACGCCAGGACTTGCCCCCACGACAGGACACGCCCCCCGGCAACCGGAGAGTGTAGCTCCGCCCCCGAGGAGCGCCGCCAAGCAGCCGCCGCAGGTACTGCAGCAACAAGAGGTAACAAAAAAAATGAAATGCTTTTTAATGTATGAAATGCTACTGACGACACTCTACTGTAGAGCAGGCAGAGGCACAGATGTAATTGTATTTATAAAAAGAATATATAATGAATTGAATGTCCAGGCGTCTCCGGTGGAGGTGATGTCTCCGGTGGAGCGGACGGCTGCCTGGGTGCTGAACAACGGACAATATGAAGAAGAAGAGGAGGAAGAGGAGGGGAAAAAGAGCAGGGAGGAGGGCAAGAACACCGAGAAGGTACCACACACACACACACACACACACACACACACACACACACACACACACACACACACACACACTCATATCTGATAAGACATTTAACGACTGAGTTTTTAGCATTTTTTACTCAAATTTTGGATCTGATCGAATAAAATAGAAACTTTTATTTATTTTTTAGTATAATTTGATCAGACATATACAAGGCTCAACTTTTTTATTAATATTATTTATTTATTTTTGAATTTGTGGATCTCGTTTTACCATTAGAAGAAAAAAAAAATCCTGTTCTTGGTTTTTATTCAGATTTTGAAATAGCAAACCTAGAAATTTGAAATTCACATGCATGATTTTTCAAAGTAAAGACTTGCTCCTATTGACGTCACCTTGCATGCTGCAGACCATTGACTAACAGAGAGTGTTCCCTGCAGTACGAGCAGGAGATCTCTCGTCTGAAGGAGCGTCTGCGGGGCTCGGGGCGCCGCCTGGAGGAGTACGAGCGCCGGCTGCTGGCTCAGGAGCAGCAGATGCAGAAGCTGCTGCAGGAGTACAAGCAGCGCCTGGAGGACAGCGAGGAGAAGCTGAGGAGGCAGCAGGAGGAGAAGGACAGCGAGATGAAGGGCATCATCTGCAGGTAGGACTGACTCCACCCGCCTGGGCTGCTGCGGCACGAGAAACAAACGCACCGATAAATGCTACTGATGCCTGATAACGCAGAGTAATCGAAAAACTCAACTTCTGCCACGCCTGAAACTCCTCCTGAGGGCAGAAAGAGATGTCCTGAGATCGTGATGTTTTTCACGTTCTCTAAACGTTTTGACCTTTTCAAAACTCTTTCACGACAATTTGGGAACAATTTAAGAAGGTTTTAATTACATTTCGGGTCACTTGATGGAAAATGTTAGGTATACTTTGAAGACACACACACTCACACACACACACACACACACACACATGCACACACACATACACACACACACACACACACACACACACACACACACACACACCATGTATGCATCACTTCAGGGGACATTACATTGACTTACATGCATTTCCTGGAGACTTATCCTAACCTTAACCATAACATGCCTAACCCTAACCAAGTCTTCACCCTAAAATTAATGATGCCCCTCATGGGGACCTCCATTTTGTCCCCATAAGGGAGGCGAGTCCCCACACGTGACTGTGTAAACAGATTTAGTTCCCCACAAGTATAGTAATGCTAGGCCACAGACGCACAGACACTCACACACACACTCTCACACACACACACTCTCTCACACACACACTCACACACACACACACGCTCTCTCACACACACACTCACACACACACACACACACTCACACACACACACACACACACACACACACACACACACACACACACACACACACACTCACACTCATATCTGATAAGACATTTAACAAGTTTTTAGCATTTTTTACTCAAATTTTCGGACCTGATCGGATAAAATATTAACTTTTATTTATTTGTTATTATAATTTGATCAGAGGCTCAACTTTTTTATTATTCATATTTATTTATTTTTGAATTCCTGGATCTCATTTTACCATTAGAACAAAACTAAAAATGTAAGAACGATTGGATGGTATCTTTGGGAACATTTGAGAGGGTTTGAAGAACACTTCGGGCCACTTGATAGAAAATGTTAAGGATACTTTGAAGTAGGGGTGGGCGATATTGAAAAATATAATATCACAATATTTTTCAAGCAATATCACGATAGACGATATTTATCACGATATTTTTTCATGTCGGTTATTATGGTTATTTTCAAGTTACTTAACAGAACAACCACCAGGTAACAACAACTAAAATAAAAAGGAGTCACAGACCAAAATACCATTTCAAGCTGGTTTTGATTCTGCAGTGAATCCCTGAATGAACAATTCAACAGGAATGTTGATATGGCTTCCTCAGTGTTCAAGTAGGTAGGCCTACACCCTACACAACAAACGTTAACACTGGTTTATTCACCAAGTAAAGTGCACTCTCTTGCTAAATAAAATAAAATATTCAAGGCACAGTTTCTCAGTATAACAATTAACTTTCTGTTTTAGGCAGCACTAGCAGTGATGTAACATCAATAAACACGAAAAGGAGAGTAAAACATAAAACATCAATGAGGAAAAGTCAGTGCCAAACAATTAAAATGTAAACTTTAGACTTTAAGTGCAATCAAAGACTTTAACATAACTGAACATCTGTTTCAAAAGGGAAAAACAATATAAGGGTCATTCCAGAATTGGAGGACAATTTTTCGACACCAACTTTTTTGAAAAATGAACCTTTTATTTTCTAATTTTCTTTAATCTATTCAGGAAAAACAGACAATAAACCATCAACAAAGTGATTAGCCCAGCTAGGCATCACATGTATATTTTCCAATGAAGAGTTACCCCTGCTACTCTAATTACAGTAACAGGGTTAAATCAATGCTACTGTGAGCTTTGACCTCAGGAAGTATTGCTAGATGTAGCATGTAATGCTACTTTCAAGGCAACGACACACTTGGATATCTAACGCAAGAAAGATCACTTTGAAATGAATATGCTTTATTCTGATCAGTAACAGGGCTGAGTGGTCAGAGTGCCACACTCTTTTAAGACTGACAAGATTGTAAAAATATGAAAAATGAAAGAGAGGACTTAGTTGTGGTCTACCCATGGCACTAGCACATGGCTTGCTGATGTCACTTCCTGTGTGTCATCTGACTTACAGTTTGTTCACTTCCTGTGCCAATCTAAAAAGGTTTGGGTAACAGGGTTGAACGCATGTTGAGGGACACACCTTCTGTGCAACATTACTGTTATTTAAAATATGTTTATGATTGAACAAATTGATTTCACCATTACAAGAGACATATATCAATAGAATAATACCAAAAGAAGTAAATACAATCCCTATTTTAAATGTTATATTTGACGCAAGTTGGTCACCAAGAAGCGGGGACAAGAGAAAAATGCCATTTAGGGGATGTTCGAGAGCTATTCGATCATTTAAATAATATTTTGAAACCACTTTTTCTACAACTTTATATACATTTTGTCTCAAGACAAGTATGTTTAACACAACAAGCGCATGTTTTAGCATTTTGGGCATGGATTATTAGATTTGTTATATGGGGACATGAAATGTCCTCCAACTCTGGAATGACCCATAAATACCTTATTATACTGTCTGAATCCTGACTAGACAGCTTGGTTTTTACTAACCGTTATCAGTATTTAGTTACTTCGGCATCATTTTGAAACGTGTATTACAATTAAATCACGGTAAAATAGGTTAATTTTGTCGTAGTTGGTTTCCACCACAGTATTTACATGGATATAAGCCCCGCCCCCTCTCCAGCGCGTCCTGTTTGAATGACAGGAGTAAACACAGCTGACAGCCGCGGTGAAACTCCAGCGGTTAGGGTGAGAATATTCGCATTGCGTCCGTTGTGAACGCAGCATGACGCAGTTCAGAAACCACTGTTTCGCTTTTAAAGCAACTTCGAGATGTTAACAGTATCAGGGGCACGCAGGCCATGGTGGCCGTAGGACGTACAATTATTTTCGGGGCCTCACAGCCAGACCGGCCGTCATGGCCGCCGTGAAAATCCTACCCTGGTGCACTATCACGATAGATATGATATCTCTGAAAAGGCATATTGTGGAGACCTAATATCGTCTCGACGATATATATCGTCATATCGCCCACCCCTACTTTGAAGACAACTTCTTTGAGTGAGTCTTCACCACATTTGTGGAGCTTTTGAAGGTCCTTCGATGAACAGTTTAACTCTATTTCTATTTTGGGGAATTATTTTAGAACAAAAAATGTAGGGAACTTTTGACATTTATTAGAATTCGTTAAGAATATTTTAGGAACATTTTGATTCTATTTTTTGGAACATTTGGGAACTTTATTTTCCAAAACCTTTAGGAACATTTTCAGGACATTCTGTCGTAATGAAACATCCATTAAATGACATTAAAAAAAATCTAAAATGTTTTTGTATTTATTATAAAATGTTCTGAAACGTTGTGAAGACCGTGTGGGAATTTTTGTTTCCTAAATATATTGTTTTTTTCAGACTGCTGGCGGTGGAGGAGGAGTTGAAGCGGGACCATGCAGAGATGCAGGCGGTGATCGAAGCAAAACAGAAAATCATCGACGCTCAGGTACAGGACATATCCTCTGAGACATGAAACCGTGTACTTAATGTTATCTGAAACTGTACAGGAAATAGTTTTTAGTTCTTGCTCTCTCATCGTCTCTTCACTGATTCCAGGTCAGTAATGGATGTGAGATTAACCAATCAGGCAAGTAGTGACTGAAGCCCGGCCCCTGCCCCCCACTCCCCACCCCCTCACGCTGTTTTCAGAGCGCCCACACCTGAGCAGCCAATCACAGAGCAGATACCTTTATTACCTAGCATCATATCAGATAAAATGTAAGCAGTGTAAACAACAGGTGAATAAAACACATTTTAGAACTTCAGGTCACCACCGCTAAGCTAAAGGAGGCTAATGTTGGGCTATAAAGGAACTACAGCACTGTCACATGACTTCACGTCACCACCGCTAAGCTAAAGGTGGCTAATGTTGGGCTATAAAGGAACTACAGCACGGTCACATGACTTCACGTCACCACCGCTAAGCTAAAGGTGGCTAATGTTGGGCTATAAAGGAACTACAGCACTGTCACATGACTTCACGTCACCACCGCTAAGCTAAAGGTGGCTAATGTTGGGCTATAAAGGAACTACAGCAAGGTCACATGACTTCACGTCACCAACGCTAAGCTAAAGGAGGCTAATGTTGGGCTATAAAGGAACTACAGCACGGTCACATGACTTCACGTCACCACCGCTAAGCTAAAGGTGGCTAATGTTGGGCTATAAAGGAACTACAGCACGGTCACATGACTTCACGTCACCACCGCTAAGCTAAAGGAGGCTAATGTTGGGCTATAAAGGAACTACAGCACGGTCACATGACTTCACGTCACCACCGCTAAGCTAAAGGAGGCTAATGTTGGGCTATAAAGGAACTACAGCACGATCACATGACTTCACGTCACCACCGCTAAACTAAAGGAGTCTAATGTTGGGCTATAAAGGAACTACAGCATGGTCACATGACTTCACGTAACCACCGCTAAGCTAAAGGTGGCTAATGTTGGGCTATAAAGGAACTACAGCACGATCACATGACTTCACGTCACCACCGCTAAACTAAAGGAGTCTAATGTTGGGCTATAAAGGAACTACAGCATGGTCACATGACTTCACGTCACCACCGCTAAGCTAAAGGAGGCTAATGTTGGGCTATAGAGGAACTACAGCACGGTCACATGACTTCACGGCACCACCGCTAAGCTAAAGGTGGCTAATGTTTGGCTATAAAGGAAGTACAACATGGTCACATGACTTCACGTAACCACCGCTAAGCTAAAGGTGGCTAATGTTGGGCTATAAAGGAACTACAGCACGATCACATGACTTCACGTCACCACCGCTAAACTAAAGGAGTCTAATGTTGGGCTATAAAGGAACTACAGCATGGTCACATGACTTCACGTCACCACCGCTAAGCTAAAGGTGGCTAATGTTGGGCGTGTAGACGTTTAGTCGTCTCATCTAGACACTTGTTAGCAACCTCCGTATTTACTGACGTATTGTATGTCGTAGAACAAACATCTCTTCAGCTTGTGTTAATCACAGACCTTATATCAAGCTAACAACCAAAAACACATTCAGAGAACCATTGACCTGCAGACCAGGGGACAGGAAGTGATGTCATGTCAGGGTTTCAGGACTCATAATGCTGAAATACGTCTTTGAAGCCGCTTCAGGTTAAACTCTCACATTGACTGTTTCTGGTGCTCGGCGCTCTGATTTGTTTTAATTCTGTTTGGCTGAAGCCCCTCCCCCTCACTCTTATTAATGGATTCTGTAACCAGGAAGTCGTGTGGATGCAGAGATGCCGTTTCACTTTCTGAGCCTAATTCTCACTTTTTCTCTTTGAGTTTTTTGGGCTGTTGTTGTCGTTGTTTATTTCCTGCTGCCACTCTCTGATTATGTTGGCTCGGAAACACATCTCAACCTTCCTCTCCGTCAAACTGAACCTAATTTAAAACAAAAGTTAAAGGTGTCAAGATAAAAACTAAATGTGTTTAATTTGTATTATTGTTATATATATTTTTTAATAATCAAATTCGTCTTTTTTCAGACCTCAGAGGAATTTAAACTCTTTGAATTAAACTTTAAATGTCTCACTTTGTGCTGCGATGTGTTTTCGCCCCTACAGTCAGCTCGTCACTGGATCACACAGCTGTCAATCTAACTTATTATCCCGCCCCCGCCCCCCCCCCCCTTTTTTTCCCATCTCTGTCCAATCAGGAGCGGCGGATCGACTCCCTGGACGCGGCGAACTCCCGTCTGATGGCGGCGCTGACGCAGGTGAAGGAGCGCTACAACACACCTAGCATCCACAACGGCCTGTCGCCCAGCAACCCCACCAAGCTGTCAATCACTGAGACCGGCGAGTTCAAGAACAGCAGCTGCTGATTGGCCGAGAGGGTGGGCGGCAAGAGGCGGGGCTTAGACTCTTAAAACAAGAGCAGAGACGGAATCTATAAATATGTGTGTAAATACTGAAGGCTGTGTGTGTGTGTGTGTGTGTGTGTGTGTGTGTGTGTGTGTGTGTGTGTGTGTGTGTGTGTGTGTGTGTGTGTGTGTGTGTGTGTGTGTGTGTGTGTGTGTGTGTGTGTGTGTGTGTGTGTGTGTGTGTGTGTGTGTGTGTGTGTGTGTGTGTGTGTGTGTGTGTGTGTGTGTGTGTGTGTGTGTGTGTGTGTGTGTGTGTGTGTGTCACAGAAGCACAGAGAGGAAGGAACAAAACCAAAAACTATAAACGCACTCCAGTTTTGTAACTGACTTTTTTAAATTTGTTTTTATTTGAATATTTTCTGGTTTTTGATTTTGAAGCTGAATTTTTTTCGAGTGGAGTTTTTTTTTTTTTTTTTTACCCGAGGAGTTTTGGGTTTTAATTTATTCTTCCACTGGTCTCCTTGTTGCTACTGAACCGACTCCTGTAGGATCACACCCTGCCTGCTGTCACTCTTTCACAATAAAAGCCTGAAAGTGTGAGTGTGTGTTCTCATGTCTGTCCACGGGAAATATTAAACATTACATTTCATAAATATCATATATATATAGGAGCGTCTTTAGATGTGTTAACGTTGAAGACCTCCGTGCTAACTCACCAATATTCAACATGTCATACATGTGTCTGTGGCGCAGCTTTCTTAATTGATTTTGCAACCAATATTTTAACAAAAGATAACAAATGTACTTCATTCACATTCTGACACACAATACTTAGGAAAGACTTTTAAAATAAGATTATTTGGGTGTAGATTAATCCACCCAACACTATATCCCAGTAGCTAATCCATGAGTGCGTTAACAGCAAATATGCAATTAAATCGGTCAGTCAATTAAAGTTCATTCTCCTCTTCATCAACTCTATATCACAGGTCTGAGATACTGAAGTGCTCAAACACCAAACAGACCATTCACTTTTCTCATGACATTTTAAATACACTATACTACCATTTCCTTCATATTTTAAAGGTCACCTATCGTGCTATTTGTAGGCAATAGCAGAGGTCTCAGATATATACAAATATATAAAAAACATGTCTATGAAGTGTTTTGCTCCAAACACCAAACAGATCATTCTAGCCACGCCTCATATCCCTCTATTTCATTTCCTGTTTCTAAAGTGATGATTTGGGGATAAAGCTTTAAAGAGGAGGGGTCTGAGCTCATGCGGGACCCGGCAGCTACTGTCTAAACTAAATGCTGCCATGATGAAACGCCATATCATGGATTATCAAGGATTCTCTCTGAAACAGTTTGGAGCTCAAAGGCTTTCTCTCTTGCCGGTTATACCACAAGGTGAGTTCCTTTTTACTTCCTGCTTCTTCACACACATGCTCTCCAGTACAGGTTAGCTCTGAGTGTTAGCGATGCTAATGTAAACACCGACCATATTACGTCCAAAACAGTCGGCATTGTTTCTGATAGCAACGTTTCTGATTGGGCCGTGGGTCCACATTTCAGATATTACTGTATGTCATATCGGACGCAAATCTGGATCAGCTCCGTTGTTCCCCGTTTTTAGAGATTTGGGTACGGAGGAAAAGAGAGAGGGTTTATTTCCTGACGCTGCGTGAGTTCCCTGACACACCGGGGACACATGTTGATGGAGAGAAGACATCACAAAGTGCATTTTGCATGATAGGTCCCCTTTAAACTTAACATACATTTACCTTTTTAATGATATTTTCAACACACCATACTATGACTTCTTCCATATTTCTGTCATATATACCATGAGTGTTTTAATATACTATTCTACAACTTTTTACATATTTTTCACCATAATACATATATTTTCGGCACGTGATACTATGGCTTTTTTTAAATTAAATTCGACAAACTATAACATAACTTTTTTTAATAAAAGTGTTTTCAACATATTTCAACTATGAATTAAAAATATTTTCTGACATAACTTTTTTATTGATACTATACTTTTACATTTTTAATATTTCAACATGATTTACTATACCTTGTTCCATATTTTTCGACATACTAACTATACCATTAGTGATTTCATGATATTTTCTACATACTATACGATGACTTATTATATTTATGAGAGACTTAATCCCAAACACATCAGAGCAAGACACCTTTATTTATTACAAGAACACACACCATCACCACCATCAGGATCACAGAGCCCCCCCACACACACACACACACACACACACACACACACACACACACACACACACACACACACACACACACACACACACACACACACACACACACAGCCTAACATTTTGATACACACTATTTCATATTTTCCAACACACTTTACAATCATTTTCTTTCATATTATTTTTTCTCAGAGTGATTTTCATATTTTTCTCCACACTAAACCACATTTTTATAATTGACTAATACATTCCTCCTCTCCACTCCATCTCATAATGTTAATTTTAATAAAATTACACTGTTGGCTCATTTCCATCGCAGGCCTCGCTCGACTTAACTCGACTTGGGTAGGCCTTGTTAGGCCCGGCTCACTTTAATGCTGCGCCTTTAATGCACTTCGCTTCGCTGCGAGTGGCGAAGTCACGCCCATCTACTTCCGGTCCATGGGACCTTATTTCAGAAAAATAATGTATTGAAGTCAATGGAGAGAGAAAGATTATCTTTCGATCCCGTTTGAATTGTGCCATGAATTACACATATGATGTTTGTCAATCTTAAAAAATCATTTCCATGTCCATACATACTTTTTTCGAAATAAGGTCCCATGGACCGGAAGGGGAGGGACTTCGCCACTCGATACGATCATTTCACTTTATGCTGCGCTTCCATTACAGTTTAGTATCTGTGGCAGTAACTATAGTAACGCAGTGTAGGCGGAGCCGTGACGTCATCTTCAATGCGAACCACAAAACCAACATCAGCCGTTAGCTGTTAGCACTCAGAGCTCACAGCTCTTCATATCTGTTCAGAAACTATACAAAAGTTAAACAAGTACAAACCACAGACTGCCTGTGTCATGGAGAATACAGTCGCTGGTTTATTTATGTCTGTATAGGCCGTTGCTGTGAGTGTGGGCGGTCGGAGCATATATAACGTTAGCTTAGCCAAGCTACATTCAGACAACACGCATTTTAAAAGGGTTTTCTCTGCCGTCTGTCTGCAGACTTGTCAAAGCATTAACTCATGGTTTTTACTAACCGGTATCAGTATGTTGTTACTTCGGCATCATTTTGAAACGTGTATTACAATTAAATCACGGTCAAATATGTTCACACAAGCTTCTCTGTTTTCAAAAATGCTGCAGTCGTCAGTTTAGCATATTCAGCAGCCCGGTTGTTGGCCTCGCTTGTTGGCCCGATAGAACCACGATTTTGTCGGGCCAGAAAAAGGTGAAAAGTAACCCCGGGCCGGAACTAGGCCTAGTGGAAACGCAACCAAAAACGGGGCCGGCACGACACGCTTAAATCGCGCCGCGGTGGAAATGAGCCATATTTGAGATAACCATATTTACATAAACTCCTACAGGATAAAGGCACTGTATTTGTGAATGTTAAGAAATAAAGAACATACAGAACAATTAGGTGCTAGAAGTTACTGAAAACATTTGGAAATCAAATCATTCAACATGCACAGGAAATAATCAGCTAAAATCCACCCAATATCACCATTTCTTTGCTAGTGGTGGCTCGCGAGCAGTCATGGGACGGGCGGAAATGTAACGACCTGCCAGACTGCCTCTGCTCAGGACCTGAGGCCTTGTAGTGAACCTGTCTGGGTGACTGGGATAGAACCGTGTTTCTCTCGTTATTGTAACTTTTCTCATCACCTCAGATGACGACAGCCGAGTTGTGTTTGAATCCAGAGAGTTTTCACTTGAATATTTTAAGAATCCAGCTCTGGTCCTGGGCTCTGGTGGTGGCCGTAAAACATCCACTTTACTCACATTCAGTGAGATGTTGGTCCAGTTGTCCCTCAGGACGTCCTGTAGTTTATCTCTTAGATCTGACACGGCTGCCGTCACGTCCTCGAAGTATCTCAGAGGACGGACGTTGATGCTGGAGGAGTGTGTAGATTCACTGAGGGCTGGCAGTGAGGGGTAGCTGTGTAGGAACTGGTTGTGATCCTCTGTGAGTGAGAGCAGCTCCAGCTCAGCGTCTCTCCTCTTCAGATCCCTGAGCTCCAGCTCCAGCTTCTCCTGGAGCTCTCTGACTCGACTCACTTCTCTCTCCTGCTGGGATCTGAGCTGTTGCTTCACCTCAGAGCTTCTCTTCTCCATGAGACGGATCAGCTCAGTGAACGTCTTCTCACTGTCCTCCACTGCTTTATCAGCAGAGCCATTGACGGCCTGCACCTCCTGCTGAAGCAGCTTCACCTCCTTCTCTCCGTCCTGGATCCTCTGCTGGATGTTTAGTCGACTCCCCTCCAGCTCTCTCTGCCTCTCAGTCCTCTCTGCTGCAGCTGACACCGTGTCGTGGCCTTTGTGTTCGTCCACAGAGCAGAGATAACAGATACTCTGCTGATCAGTGCGGCAGAACAGCTTCATCACCTCGTCGTGACGAAAGCACATGTTCTCTCTGAGCTGCTTGGAGGGCTCCACCAGCTTGTGTTTCTGTAATGCAGCTGATTCAAAGTGAGGCTGGAGGTGTTGCTCACAGTAAGAGGCCACACACTGCAGACAGGACTTGAAGGCTCTCAGTTTCCTCCCAGTGCAGACATCACAGGACACATCTTCAGCTCCAGCATAGCAGAGATCAGCAGGAGCAGCTGGGGGTCCAGTCTTCTTCAGCTCCTCCACTAAAGCTGCTAACATGGTGTTCTTCAGCAGGACAGGCCTCGGTGTGAAGCTCTGCCTGCACTGAGGGCAGCTGTGGATTCGCTCTCCATCCCAGTGGTGTTTGATACAGTCCATGCAGTAGCTGTGTCCACAGGGGATAGTCACCGGGTCCTTCAGTAGATCCAGACAGATGGGACAAGAGAAGGTTTCCCGGTCCAGCTGAACTCCTTTCTGAGCCATTTGTCCTCCGAGCGTTAGTCAGATGTTTCCTGTTCTCTGAACAGATCAGTGTGAGCTCTGCTCTGGTTCAGCGGCTGCAGTGACTGAGGATCAGCTGAGCTTTACGAGAGGCAGGGTGTGTTATCTGAACTTTACAACACACACTTAGAGAAGTGGACCTTTGACCGTCAGCTGACCAGAGTCTCAGCAGAGTTGTTGGACTTTGAAACAACAAAAACATCCGCTTCATATTTTGAAATAAGTCATGACAGCGTTAGGAAGTAGTCAGAAGACCGTTCAGCAGATCCAGGGTCTGTGTTCAGTCTGTGTGTCCCTGGGTTTATTGCATTTATTACATTACTGTGGCGTGTCTTATGGACATGATCTTATCTTATTTCCGTGTGCGCTGCAAGGGTCCAAGGTCGGGGTGTGTTATATGATGTGCAGACTGTACATTCCTGGAAGAGGAGCTGAACCTTGTTGAGTGTTTAACGCCTTGACAACAGATTGCTCACTTCAGCTTTTAGGAGGGGACTCTCCTCAGAAGCCCCGTCCGGAGAGGAGTCCTCTGAGGCAGTCGTTCCCAACCTTTCTGGAGGTGAAGATTTGTTCCGGGAAATGTATATATACTATGTATAGCAAAAATAAACTACAAATATGGTGTCGTTTTGCATCACCGTACAAAGCTGATATAATGGAAGTTGTAGTTTTTAAAGATATAATTGATTATTACTTGTTAGACGCTTTTATCCAAAGCGAGTTACATACTCAATACTGTGGACAATCCCCACAGGAGCACTTTGGGATGAAGTGTCTTGCCCAGGCACACAACGACATGCTAACTGCAGTGGGGTTTGAACCTGTGACCCCCGATCCCAACACCAAGACTCTATCCACTGCGCCACACGCCTCCCATGATTATCTTTTGATTAAAGAATGTAAACACTGAGTTGAGAGTATAGTCAGGGGTTTTAGGTGATGCAGACACATCTATGAAATAAGAATTGCAATATCTAACCGTTTAAAGACTGACCATCATTTTGGATTCTACCCAGTTAGGCATATTCACTTGGCTTAGGAGCTTAGGTCAAGTGCTCTTTATAACAATTGGTCCCATGTATGTAGTCTCTTCATGCGAACAAAATCAAACTGTAAATCCTGCACATGTTGCACATCTCACACTACCTCGTTTCGATACAGCACAGCTCTCCACTTTAAATACTAAAGTGTTTTCATAAATTGTTCATTTGTTATAACAGTCCTATTTCTATTTGTTTTGCTACGTATTCTTCTTTCTGTGTCTCTGTATGCACCACATATACCAAAGCTAATTCCTCGTATGTGTAAACCTACTTGGTAATACAATTGATTCTGACTTCTAGCTTGAGTTTTCCATTGCACAGCTACCGCTAGTTGCAATCCGCAGAGCCACCAAGCACCAGTAACAGCAACTGCCTGCGCTCCTCTGGCCCAGCTAATAAACCAGTGGCCCAAATCCTCGAGCAGAGCAGTGTGGCAGCAGTTGGATGAAGACGTAGATTGCATCCTGGAAGGGACTGCCAAGGGGGATGTGGACTGACGGCTGAAAACGATGGCTACCATCATCGTAAACATTGCAGCTGACCGATTTGGAGTACAGGAAGTCAAGTCTGCACCACTCGCGTATGCTCCGAACAACCGAGCAAGGCAAACCCAGCAACTCAGGGAAGAACTCAAGATGCTCAGGAGGCAGTGCAAGAAGGCAGGAGAAGTCGAGAGGGCCGGTTTAGCAGATCTTTGTGCAATGCTCAGGAAGAGGCTCCTTACCCTGCGGAGAGCGGAGAACCACAGAAGAAAGCGGAGGGAGAGGGCAAGAAGGAGAGCGAGGGCAAGAAGGAGGGAGAGGGCAAGAAGGAGAGCGAGGGCAAGAAGGAGAGCGAGGGCAAGAAGGAGAGCGAGGGCAAGAAGGAGGGAGAGGGCAAGAAGGAGGGAGAGGGCAAGAAGGAGGGAGAGGGCAAGAAGGAGGGAGAGGGCAAGAAGGAGAGCGAGGGCAAGAAGGAGGGAGAGGGCAAGAAGGGAGGGAGAGGGCAAGAAGGAGAGAGAGGGCAAGAAGGAGAGCGAGGGCAAGAAGGAGGGAGAGGGCAAGAAGGAGAGAGAGGGCAAGAAGGAGAGAGAGGGCAAGAAGGAGGGAGAGGGCAAGAAGGAGGGAGAGGGCAAGAAGGAGAGCGAGGGCAAGAAGGAGAGCGAGGGCAAGAAGGAGAGCGAGGGCAAGAAGGAGAGAGAGGGCAAGAAGGAGAGCGAGGGCAAGAAGGAGGGAGAGGGCAAGAAGGAGAGCGAGGGCAAGAAGGAGGGAGAGGGCAAGAAGGAGAGCGAGGGCAAGAAGGAGGGAGAGGGCAAGAAGGAGGGAGAGGGCAAGAAGGAGGGAGAGGGCAAGAAGGAGGGAGAGGGCAAGAAGGAGGGAGAGGGCAAGAAGGAGGGAGAGGGCAAGAAGGAGGGAGAGGGCAAGAAGGAGGGAGAGGGCAAGAAGGAGGGAGAGGGCAAGAAGGAGGGAGAGGGCAAGAAGGGAGGAGGAGGGCAAGAAGGAGGGAGAGGGCAAGAAGGAGGGAGAGGGCAAGAAGGAGGGAGAGGGAAGAGAGGGAGGGCAAGAAGGAGGGAGAGGGCAAGAAGGAGGGAGAGGGCAAGAAGGGAGGGAGAGGGCAAGAAGGAGGGAGAGGGCAAGAAGGAGAGAGAGGGCAAGAAGGAGGGAGAGGGCAAGAAGGAGAGCGAGGGCAAGAAGGAGGGAGAGGGCAAGAAGGAGGGAGAGGGCAAGAAGGAGGGAGAGGGCAAGAAGGAGGGAGAGGGCAAGAAGGAGGGAGAGGGCAAGAAGGAGAGCGAGGGCAAGAAGGAAGGAGAGGGCAAGAAGGAGAGCGAGGGCAAGAAGGAGAGCGAGGGCAAGAAGGAGAGCGAGGGCAAGAAGGAGAGCGAGGGCAAGAAGGAGAGCGAGGGCAAGAAGGAGAGAGAGGGCAAGAAGGAGAGTGGCGTTCCTGGCAAAACCCTTCAAGTTGACCAAGCAGCTCCTTGCCCAAAAGAGGGGTGGCCGGTTGACCTGCCCCAGAGACGACATTAACAACCCCCCCAGTGCACTTACAGTGACCCCAGGAGAGATCAGCCACTGGGTCTGTGTAGAGCAGTGGTCCTCAAACTTTTTCTGTCTGAAAAAAAAAAGTCGGGCCCCCCCAACACAAATAGTCAGGCTCAGTGGCGGCGCCAGAGATTTATTTTGGGGGTTCTGTGGGGTAGCTTGACGTTTCATAGAGGGTGCTCAAACATTTATGGTTTCCCATTCATGTACCGGGCGCTACAGAGGAACTTTCTACTGCAACACTCCCCACGCACACACACAGTGTACCTGCGACTGTTACAATGAAAGCTCGATAATCAGCTCACTGCATATAGGTGTAAGCAGGGGTCAAGTGCTATTTTTATAGGTGGTGTGTGGACCTCACATAGGGGGGTCCGAGGGGCCTGCTCCCCCGGGAAGATTTATTTTTAAATATTGAAGTTGAAAGCATCAATCTGGTGCACTTTGAGAGCAACATGAAGAGATCTATGGAGACCTCTCTCAGCACCCAGATGAAACACAACTGGAAACAGATTTTCTTTTTCTTTATGGATATTTTACAAATCACCCTTTTAAACTTTATTCTTTTTTTACTGTCATATAGTATTTCATACCTGTTTTTCATTTATTCTCTTATTTTTGTATAACTATAATATAAACGTGTGCCTCGGAAATAATTGTTTACATTAATTGTGACCAAAACATTTGAGACCCACTGAGATAACACTGAGAGTCCTTTAGCTCACTGAGTCTCAGTCTGACAGGAGAGGACTCTCCTCCACCTTGCTGTTGAAAAAACTCCTTATATCCGTTAGCGTAGCTCGCTAGCACCAGAAGCTAACAACAACGATCTCCAGTACCGGAGCGCTCTCTCTCGTGCACAAAATGGCTCGTCACACACACACACACACACACACACACACACACACACACACACACACACACACACACACACACACACACACACACACACACACACACACACACACACACACACACACACACACACACCACACACACACACACACACACACACACACACACACACACACACACACACACACACACACACACACACACACACACACACACACACACACACACACACACACACACACACACACACACACACACACACACACACAATCATATTATTTTCGAATCAATAATTTTTCAAAATATGATATTATTCTTTTTTTCTTTCTCTAGAGCAGTAATGTTTTGGGCAACACAGACTTTCAACTCCCTCCAAAGATTTTCTATGGGGTTGAGATCTGGAGACTGGCTAGGCCACTCCAGGACCTTGAAATGCTTCTTACGAAGCCACTCCTTCGTTGCCCGGGCGGTGTGTTTGGGATCATTGTCATGCTGAAAGACCCAGCCACGTTTCATCTTCAATGCCCTTGCTGATGGAAGGAGGTTGTCACTCAAAATCTCACGATACATGGCCCCATTCATTCTTTCCTTTACATGGATCAGTGGTCCTGGTCCCTTTGCAGAAACACAGCCCCAAAGCATGATGTTTCCACCCCCATGTTTCACAGTAGGTGTTCTTTGGATGCAACTCAGCATTCTTTCTCCTCCAAACACGTCTAGTTGAGTTTTTACCAAAAAGTTCTATTTTGGTTTCATCTGACCATATGACATTCTCCCAATCCTCTTCTGGATCATCTAAATGCTCTCTAGCAAACTTCAGACGGGCCTGGACATGTACTGGCTTAAGCAGGGGGACACGTCTGGCACTGCAGGATTTGAGTCCCTGGCGGCGTAGTGTGTTACTGATGGTAGCCTTTGTTACTTTGGTCCCAGCTCTCTGCAGGTCATTGACTAGGTCCCCCCGTGTGGTTCTGGGATTTTTGCTCACCGTTCTTGTGATCATTTTGACCCCACAGGGTGAGATCTTGCGTGGAGCCCCAGATCGAGGGAGATTATCAGTGGTCTTGTATGTCTTCCATTTTCTAATAATTGCTCCCACAGTTGATTTCTTCACACCAAGCTGCTTACCTATTGCAGATTCAGTCTTCCCAGCCTGGTGCAGGTCTACCATTTAGTTTCTGGTGTCCTTTGACAGCTCTTTGGTCTTGGCCATAGTGGAGTTTGGAGTGTGACTGTTTGAGGTTGTGGACAGGTGTCTTTTATACTGATAGCGAGTTCAAACAGGTGCCATTAATACAGTTAACGAGTGGAGGACAGAGGAGGCTCTTAAAGAAGTTACAGGTCTGTGAGAGCCAGAGATCTTGTTTGTTTGTAGGTGACCAAATACTTATTTTACCGGGGAATTTACCAATTAATTCATTAAAAATCCTACAATGTGATTTCCTTGCAGGTGTGTGTGTGTCTGTGAGAGTGTGTTGCTGGTGTGTGTGTGTGTGTGATGCAGGTGTGTGTGTGTGTATGTTGCAGGTGTGTGTGTGTGTCTGTGAGAGTGTGTTGCTGGTGTGTGTGTGTGTGTGATGCAGGTGTGTGTGTGTGTATGTTGCAGGTGTGTGTGTGTGTCTGTGAGAGTGTGTTGCTGGTGTGTGTGTGTGTGATGCAGGTGTGTGTGTGTGTGTATGTTGCAGGTAGGTGTGAGTGTGTGTCTGTGAGAGTGTGTTGCTGGTGTGTGTGTGTGTGTGTGTGTGATGCAGGTGTGTGTGTGTGTATGTTGCAGGTGTGTGTGTGTGTCTGTGAGAGTGTGTTGCTGGTGTGTGTGTGTGTGATGCAGGTGTGTGTGTGTGTATGTTGCAGGTGTGTGTGTGTGTGTCTGTGAGAGTGTGTTGCTGGTGTGTGTGTGTGTGTGTGTGATGCAGGTGTGTGTGTGTGTATGTTGCAGGTAGGTGTGAGTGTGTGTGAGGTTCAACGCCTTTAAAGAAGAAGCAGAGTTTTCTTGTTAAGTTTTTATTATGCTTAAAAAAGAAAATGAAAAGACAGAGGAGGTGGTGATCAAAGAAACCGAAAAAAATATATATTCAAATATCTTTATACTTTTCTATTCATATATGATTAACAATGCAAAGAAAATAATTCCCGTAGTAGTAGTGCTTAAGTAAAGTTCAATATAGACTTTTATTATAACAAAATAGGCAGTTTACCGAGGGGTTAAATATCTGTCAAAATCTCATTTTACAATAAAATCATCTGGGGGTCGACATCGTGTGCAGACGAGGTTCCAGCTCGCGCCACTAGAGGGCGCCGCTCCGCGAAAACAATCATAACAACAACAAAAAAAGTAAGAATCAGAATCACACCGCCACCCGTCTGCCGGCACACCGCTACGAACAGACGGAGAATATCCCAAAACTTTATTTTATTATTATGAGAAACAAGAAAATTGTATTTTAATTATTTGAAAAATTGTGCGTTTTATTTCAAATTTAAACGTTTTTTTCCCTAAACATTTTGTGAATATTGGATATTTTTATCGGGAATTTTATTGATTACTTTCCAAAATTATGAGATAATATTTTCTAATAATGAGGATTTTTTTCCCGTCATATTTATCAGATATTTTTCCTAAAATCAACGGATACTAATTAGAAAAGGATTAATAATAATTATAACGAGATGAGATTATTTATTTTTGGTTTTTATTACATTTTTAACAATAATGACAGTTTTCTTGTGATTTAGATTTTCCAAGTGATTCTTTATTTCAACACATTTAGTGAATTATTTTTTGGAGTTACGAAAAAATAAGTTAAATTATAGAGTTTTATTTGGTTTATAAAATATATTTTTGTGTAAATTAAATGTGTTTATTTGATGTATTTTATTCTGAGATAATTATAAAAATACTTTCTATCTTTGTACTTTTAAGTGAATATTTTTCCTCAGGTATTCCAGATTGAACGAGGGAAACAGCGCCCCCCGGTGGCGGAGTAGGAACTCTGCACGGCGTCCTCACATCCTGTAGCAGCCAGCAGGAAAATCAAAATAAAGAAGTGTGTGTGTGTGTGTGTAAAATAAAAACAAAGCGTTGAAATGCAGGAGAAGAAAACGTCAGAAGGGGCTGATGGGAAATAAACGGCGTTATTAACGGACATGCTGTTAAAGCTCAAACGTGCAAAGTTCTGCTTTTTGTGTCGGCCTGAGAGTGAAACACACACCAAACAAAAACTAACTCCTCTTCCTCCTCCTCTTCCTCCGGCCTTAAACATTAAGGATCTGTACCGTGAGTGTGATGTCATCGTACTTCCTGTGTGCTTTGCTCTGTGGAGAGGAAACCCAACGAAGGAGACAAAATGAAACGAGACGCTGGTGGTTTTGGGGTTTTTGGGGGGGCTGCCGTCTGCAGGCGGACTCTTCCTTTCAAAATAAAAGCCTCACAACTTCTCCTTGGACTGGACCCAGATGAAGGAGCTCGACTGCTCCTCGATGATCTGCTTCACCTGGTCGTAGATCTCCTCCAGAGTGTCGCCCTGCACCACGGCTGCAATAATAACACATATCATATATACTGTAAACAGTGGTGTATTAGTACGGACACAGACTACAGTCAGTCATATAATAACACACCGTATTGACCCGATTATATTTTCAGTCACGTATTCAAACACCCTCCTGTCAACCTTTCCGGATGCTTTCCTCCGACTGATGACATTTCTAAGGCGGTCTTTTTGGGCTCGCAATCTTCTGACGTTACTCTCAGTAACTCCACATTTCCTTGCTGCTCGACAGTTGTTTGATAACTTTGTTGTTCTCCATTATCTTAAAATTGTAATCGTAACTTCGCCTCTCTTGTTTATTAACTTTTGATCCACTGTGTTGGAGTCGGTCTCTGTGTCTCTCCATCTCTCTCTCATGTTGAACTGTCGCTTTAAGACTCTCTCTCTGGGGGAACACTCGTTTGGCGCCATCTGCTGTTGTGACTGTGTAATTACATCGAAAAGTCTAGACCCCGAATATAAATCCCCTCTTTTTCAGATTTTTTTCTAGGAAATAGAACCCGTCTTATATTCGGTTCAATACGGTAATATACTGTAAACAGTGTGCAGGTGTTTTACCTGTGAAATGTTCCGTGAACTCCTGCTCCAGCTTGTTGGCTCGGTCCAACGTCTTCCTGCCCTGATCCTCCGTCAGACGCTTGTTCATCTCACTGCACGACAAACACAAGCAATGAGATACTGAGTACTTTTACTGACGTACTGCTGATACTGAGTACTTTTACTGACGTACTGCTGATACTGAGTACTTTTACTGACGTACTGCTGATACTGAGTACTTTTACTGACGTACTGCTGATACTGAGTACTTTTACTGACGTACTGCTGATACTGAGTACTTTTACTGACGTACTGCTGATACTGAGTACTTTACTGACGTACTGCTGATACTGAGTACTTTTACTGACGTACTGCTGATACTGAGTACTTTTACTGACGTACTGCTGATACTGAGTACTTTTACTGACGTACTGCTGATACTGAGTACTTTTACTGACGTACTGCTGATACTGAGTACTTTTACTGACGTACTGCTGATACTGAGTACTTTTACTGACGTACTGCTGATACTGAGTACTTTTACTGACGTACTGCTGATACTGAGTACTTTTACTCACGTACTGCTGATACTGAGTACTTTACTGACGTACTGCTGATACTGAGTACTTTTACTGACGTACTGCTGATACTGAGTACTTTTACTCACGTACTGCTGATACTGAGTACTTTTACTGACGTACTGCTGATACTGAGTACTTTTACTGACGTACTGCTGATACTGAGTACTTTTACTGACGTACTGCTGATACTGAGTACTTTTACTGACGTACTGCTGATACTGAGTACTTTTACTGACGTACGCTGATACTGAGTACTTTACTGACGTACTGCTGATACTGAGTACTTTTACTGACGTACTGCTGATACTGAGTACTTTTACTGACGTACTGCTGATACTGAGTACTTTTACTCACGTACTGCTGATACTGAGTACTTTTACTGACGTACTGCTGATACTGAGTACTTTTACTGACGTACTGCTGATACTGAGTACTTTTACTGACGTACTGCTGATACTGAGTACTTTTACTGAACGTACTGCTGATACTGAGTACTTTTACTGACGTACTGCTGATACTGAGTACTTTTACTGACGTACTGCTGATACTGAGTACTTTTACTGAGTACTGCTGATACTGAGTACTTTTACTGACGTACTGCTGATACTGAGTACTTTTACTGACGTACTGCTGATACTGAGTACTTTTACTGACGTACTGCTGATACTGAGTACTTTTACTGACGTACTGCTGATACTGAGTACTTTTACTCACGTACTGCTGATACTGAGTACTTTTACTGACGTACTGCTGATACTGAGTACTTTTACTGACGTACTGCTGATACTGAGTACTTTTACTCACGTACTGCTGATACTGAGTACTTTTACTGACGTACTGCTGATACTGAGTACTTTTACTCACGTACTGCTGATACTGAGTACTTTTACTGACGTACTGCTGATACTGAGTACTTTTACTGACGTACTGCTGATACTGAGTACTTTTACTGCACGTACTGCTGATACTGAGTACTTTTACTCACGTACTGCTGATACTGAGTACTTTTACTCACGTACTGCTGATACTGAGTACTTTTACTCACGTACTGCTGATACTGAGTACTTTTACTGACGTACTGCTGATACTGAGTACTTTTACTCACGTACTGCTGATACTGAGTACTTTTACTCACGTACTGCTGATACTGAGTACTTTTACTCACGTACTGCTGATACTGAGTACTTTTACTGACGTACTGCTGATACTGAGTACTTTTACTTTACTACGTACTGCTGATACTGAGTACTTTTACTGACGTACTGCTGATACTGAGTACTTTTACTCACGTACTGCTGATACTGAGTACTTTTACTCACGTACTGCTGATACTGAGTACTTTTACTGACGTACTGCTGATACTGAGTACTTTTACTCACGTACTGCTGATACTGAGTACTTTTACTGACGTACTGCTGATACTGAGTACTTTTACTGACGTACTGCTGATACTGAGTACTTTTACTGACGTACTGCTGATACTGAGTACTTTTACTGACGTACTGCTGATACTGAGTACTTTTACTGACCGTACTGCTGATACTGAGTACTTTTACTGACGTACTGCTGATACTGAGTACTTTTACTGACGTACTGCTGATACTGAGTACTTTTACTGACGTACTGCTGATACTGAGTACTTTTACTGACGTACTGCTGATACTGAGTACTTTTTACTCACGTACTGCTGATACTGAGTACTTTTACTGCAGTACTGCTGATACTGAGTACTTTTACTGACGTACTGCTGATACTGAGTACTTTTACTCACGTACTGCTGATACTGAGTACTTTTACTGACGTACTGCTGATACTGAGTACTTTTACTCACGTACTGCTGATACTGAGTACTTTTACTAACGTACTGCTGATACTGAGTACTTTTACTGACGTACTGCTGATACTGAGTACTTTTACTCACGTACTGCTGATACTGAGTACTTTTACTCACGTACTGCTGATACTGAGTACTTTTACTCACGTACTGCTGATACTGAGTACTTTTACTCACGTACTGCTGATACTGAGTACTTTTACTGACGTACTGCTGATACTGAGTACTTTTACTCACGTACTGCTGATACTGAGTACATATACTAAAGTACTGCACTCAAGAGTTACTAATACTGGAGTATTCAGATTTCCTGCTACCTTATACTTGTACTCTCTACATCTCAGAGATAAATCTGTACTTTTCACTGCAGCCATTAGACGGAGAGATAGAGATATGTTTCAATGACACTCACAGGATGTTCTCCACAGTTTTGGGTTTGATGAAGATGGCGATGGGATGAAGCTGAGCGAGCTGCAGTCTCTTTATCGCGTTCCCCGAAACATCCAGGATACAGTGTTTACCCTGAGGAGAGAGGAGAGGGTTATCATGAGAGCGACCTTTGACTCTGCACGTCCAATTAAAGTCAGATTAAGATTACATTTAGATCAGATTTCTATAATGTTTTTGTCAGATTTGGGTCGGATTGATGACAGAATTAGATCAAATGTATATTAGTTAAATATCAGATTTATAACAGACTATGGTCAATTTTAACACAGTTTTAGGGCAGATTAATGTCAGGGTTACCTTCTCGGCCACCTCACGGACGCACAGTTGAAGCTAGTTTAAGGTCAGATTGAAGCTAGTTTTAGGTCAGATTAAAGCTAGTTTTAGGTCAGATTAAAGCTAGTTTTAGGTCAGATTAAAGCTAGTTTTAGGTCAGATTGAAGCTAGTTTTAGGTCAGATTAAAGCTAGTTTTAGGTCAGATTGAAGCTAGTTTTAGGTCAGATTGAAGCTAGTTTTAGGTCAGGATTGAAGCTAGTTTTAGGTCAGATTAAAGCTAGTTTTAGGTCAGATTGGAAGCTAGTTTTTAGGTCAGATTAAGCTAGTTTAAAGCTAGTTTAGGTCAGCTTGAAGCTAGTTTTAGGTCAGATTGAAGCTAGTTTAGGTCAGATTGAAGCTAGTTTTAGGTCAGATGAAGCTAGTTTTAGGTCAGATTGAAGCTAGTTTTAGGTCAGATTGAAGCTAGTTTTAGGTCAGATTGAAGCTAGTTTTAGGTCAGATTGAAGCTAGTTTTAGGTCAGATTGAAGCTAGTTTTAGGTCAGATTAAAGCTAGTTTTAGGTCAGATTAAAGCTAGTTTTAGGTCAGATTAAAGCTAGTTTTAGGTCAGATTAAGCTAGTTTTAGGTCAGATTAAAGCTAGTTTTAGGTCAGATTGAAGCTAGTTTTAGGTCAGATTGAAGCTAGTTTTAGGTCAGATTGAAGCTAGTTTTAGGTCAGATTGAAGCTAGTTTTAGGTCAGATTAAAGCTAGTTTTAGGTCAGATTAAAGCTAGTTTTAGGTCAGATTAAAGCTAGTTTTAGGTCAGATTAAAGCTAGTTTTAGGTCAGATTAAAGCTAGTTTTAGGTCAGATTGAAGCTAGTTTTAGGTCAGATTGAAGCTAGTTTTAGGTCAGATTGAAGCTAGTTTTAGGTCAGATTAAAGTGAGTTTTAGGTCAGATTAAAGTGAGTTTTAGGTCAGATTGAAGTGAGTTTTAGGTCAGATTAAAGTGAGTTTTAGGTCAGATTGAAGTGAGTTTTAGGTCAGATTAATATCAGTTTAATATCAGGGTACCTTCTCGGCCACCTCGCGCACCGACTGCACGCTGGTCCCGTACAGGTGGTTGTTGTACTGGCCGGCCTCGATGAAGCGATGGTCCTGGATGTCTTTCTCCATCTGCTCTCTGGAAACCACGAAGTGATAATCCCTGCCGTCCACCTCGTAGTCTCGCTTGGGCCGCGTCGTATCTGTGAGGAGAGAGAACAGATTACACTTCGACACACGTGTTCATCCGCGATGTAGAACGCCTGTTCATCCGTATAGTCAGTTTATAATGTCAGTTTTAGGTCAGATTAAAGTCAATTTAATGTCAGATTAATGTCATTTTTAACACAGTTTTAGGTCCAGGGTTCATACACTTTTTCACCAATGATTTTCAATGACTTTTACCTAATTTTCCATGACCAAAAACATAACTCTTTTTCAGCGTACCACTGAAAATGGTTTATTTTAACATGGAACAGGAAAATAAGGTCTGCATGTTGAGCCTATCTAACAAATCAAATAGGCTTACTAGCTTCTACATGCTGAAGCAACTGAAATCTCTCACCAGCGAAACACCTCAACAGTTAAATGCCATTCTACGTTTCATTACTATACCATACAGTATTTATTATCATTATAGTATTACTATTTCGGCGATTAGATAAAATATAAATTATATTTGATGCAACTTTAGTTAATTTCCATGACTTTTCCAAAACTTTGGGAAAAATATTGTTTTCCATCACTTTTCCAGGGCCTGGAATTTGCATTTTGAATTTCCATGACTTTTCCAGGTTTTTAATGACCGTAAGAACCCTGTAGGTCAGATTAATGTTAGTTTTAGGTCAGATTAATGTTAGTTTTAGGTCAGATTAATGTCAGTTTTAGGTCAGATTAATGTCAGTTTTAGGTCAGATTAATGTCAGTTTATAGTCAGTTCCTTACGAGGCACGCAGGATCCAAACTTGTCGGGGAACTCTGAGATCAGGTCATCGTTGATGCGGTCCTTCATCGGGCCGAGGATGATGATGGGACGCGTGTAGTTCACTGAAACAGGAAGTGATCACTCCATCAGATCAACATGTATATAAACAGCCTGAAATCACAAAGGGCTTTAAAGACATATATATTTTACTCACCTTCCTGCTGAGACACGGGTTCATACGACAGCACGTAGTCCTCCTGTCCACCTGCACACACACATAGCGGGTCAGTTAGCAGCCAGTGTTCAGCTAGCAGCTAGTGTTCAGCTAGCAGCTAGTGTTCAGCTAGCAGCTAGCGGTCAGTTAGCAGCTAGAGGTCAGTTAGCAGGTAGTTAGCAGTTAGCAGTAAATTAGCAGTTAGAGTTCAATTAGCGGTCAGTTAGCAGTTAGTGTTCAGTTAGCGGTTAGAGGTCAGTTAGCAGTTAAAGGTCAGTTAGCAGTTAGTGTTCAGTTAGCAGTTAGTGTTCAGTTAGCAGTTAGTGTTCAGTTAGCAGTCGGTTAGTGTTAAGTTAGTAGTAACAGGTCAGTTAGAAACTAGTGTTCAGTTAGCAGCAAAATGTCAGTTAGAAGTTAGCAGTTAGTGTTCAGTTAGCGGTAAAATGTCAGTTAGAAGTTAGCAGTTAGAGGTCAGTTAGCAGTTAGAGGTCAGTTAGCAGTTAGTGTTCAGTAAGCAGTTGGTTAGCAGTTAGTTAGTGTTTAGTTAGTAGTAACAGGTCAGTTAGCAGTTAAAGGTCAGTTAGCAGTTAAAGGTCAGTTAGCAGTTAGTGTTCAGTTAGCAGTTAGCAGTTAGTGGTTAGTTAGCAGTTAGCAGTAAAATGTCAGTTAGCAGCTAGAGGTCAGTTAGCAGCTAGCAGTCAGTTAGCAGTTAGTGTTCAGTTAGCAGTTAGTGGTTAGTTAGCAGTTAGCAGTAAAATGTCAGTTAGCAGCTAGAGGTCAGTTAGCAGTTAGAGGTCAGTTAGCAGTTAGAGGTCAGTTAGCAGTTAGTGTTCAGTTAGCAGTTAGTGGTTAGTTAGCAGTTAGCAGTAACATGTCAGTTAGCAGCTAGTGTTCAGCTAGCAGCTAGCGGTCAGTTAGCAGCTAGAGGTCAGTTAGCAGGTAGTTAGCAGTTAGCAGTAAATTAGCAGTTAGAGTTCAGTTAGCGGTCAGTTAGCAGTTAGTGTTCAGTTAGCGGTTAGAGGTCAGTTAGCAGTTAGAGGTCAGTTAGCAGTTAAAGGTCAGTTAGCAGTTAGTGTTCAGTTAGCAGTTAGCAGTTAAAGGTCAGTTAGCAGTTAGTGTTCAGTTAGCAGTTGGTTAGCAGTTAGTTAGTGTTTAGTTAGTAGTAACAGGTCAGTTAGAAACTAGTGTTCAGTTAGCAGTAAAATGTCAGTTAGCAGTTAAAGGTCAGTTAGCAGTTGGTTAGCAGTTAGTTAGTGTTTAGTTAGTAGTAACAGGTCAGTTAGAAACTAGTGTTCAGTTAGCAGTAAAATGTCAGTTAGCAGTTAAAGGTCAGTTAGCAGTTAAAGGTCAGTTAGCAGTTAGTGTTCAGTTAGCAGTTAGCAGTTAGTGGTTAGTTAGCAGTTAGCAGTAAAATGTCAGTTAGCAGCTAGAGGTCAGTTAGCAGCTAGCGGTCAGTTAGCAGTTAAAGGTCAGTTAGCAGTTAGTGGTTAGTTAGCAGTTAGCAGTAAAATGTCAGTTAGCAGCTAGAGGTCAGTTAGCAGCTAGCGGTCAGTTAGCAGTTAGTGTTCAGTTAGCAGTTAGTGGTTAGTTAGCAGTTAGCAGTAAAATGTCAGTTAGCAGCTAGAGGTCAGTTAGCAGTTAGAGGTCAGTTAGCAGTTAGAGGTCAGTTAGCAGTTAGTGTTCAGTTAGCAGTTAGCAGTTAGTGGTTAGTTAGCAGTTAGCAGTAACATGTCAGTTAGCAGCTAGTGTTCAGCTAGCAGCTAGCGGTCAGTTAGCAGCTAGAGGTCAGTTAGCAGGTAGTTAGCAGTTAGCAGTAAATTAGCAGTTAGAGTTCAGTTAGCGGTCAGTTAGCAGTTAGTGTTCAGTTAGCGGTTAGAGGTCAGTTAGCAGTTAAAGGTCAGTTAGCAGTTAGTGGTTAGTTAGCAGTTAGCAGTTAAAGGTCAGTTAGCAGTTAGTGTTCAGTTAGCAGTTGGTTAGCAGTTAGTTAGTGTTTAGTTAGTAGTAACAGGTCAGTTAGAAACTAGTGTTCAGTTAGCAGTAAAATGTCAGTTAGCAGTTAAAGGTCAGTTAGCAGTTAAAGGTCAGTTAGCAGTTAAATAATAATAATAATCCTTGCTTATCTTTCTTACAGTGCAGACGCTTTTCTGCTTGCTCTTGCCTCTGCTTACTTTTTATGCTGATTTTCCTATTCTTATTCTCTGAAAACTTCGAGCAGCGGCTCCTGGACATTAACTTATCACTGGGACAGTTCATCTTCGTAAATAGACGGAGGGTTTCAGCCATATTTCAACATTTTTACGACGACGTCAGTCTTACAATAGCGTGGCCTAGCAACAGCTAAAGCCTGGTAGGCTACTGCTATTTAGCTTAAGCTAGTTGGTAGCAAAATGCCTCCGTTCTCTACAGATGACTTCCAGAAACTTATACAGAAGATGGCTGTGTTGGAAATGAAAATTGCAACGGTTGGAAGTTAACGTGGAAGTGAATGGACTATGTCGTGGGAATGACACGACTTTACCAGTGTTGCAAAGTAATGGAGAAGGGTATGCTAACTCACAGCTAGTTAGCAGCTACAAAGATTCCAAGGAACAGGAGGGCTGTGTACCGGGTAATAAATCTACAAGTGGTAGTCCTCCCTGGAACTCTCTGGGTGCAAAGCCTAAGAGTAAATCACTTTCCATGGGATTTGGGAGGACGGATAACAGGCAGAGCCCAGAGCTCCGAAATCTGTGATGCGACCGGCTGGCCTGCATTGTTATCACCCAGGAAGAGCGCCTCTTCAACCCCTATTCATACTAGGAAACAGCC